CCATACCTCTTGGCCATGCCTTTTTCTGGGCGGAGTTTCCAAGGAAACACAGCTCTATACACACATGAAAATAATCACAAATTCTCTGGGAAGTGTCTCTATTATTCTGACCTACTTATGGGGACACTTCTTAAAGCTCAGTCTCAGTTCCTACCACCAGGTTTCCAACATAATGGAAAGGCATAACACTTGTAAGTTCATCTAGAAACACACTGTTGACTTGAAGCAAGAAAATAAACAGCCCACACACAGTTACGTTCACAAACTCTACAAAAAGAGTAGGATTTGTGGTCTGTGAACTGACAGGACACAGCAGATCTTCATACAGATTCAAGAAAGTTATGGGATTAGTGGGATCTTACAATGTCTTTATTTTCTTGTCCTTCTTCTTATAAGTCTCAAAAATAAGTTTTCTTCCCTGTATTTGTGAATTTTTTGTTTTCTAAATTGAAGTACTTTAAGCAAGCAGTAAGTTATTATTTCTAATGAAGAAATAAGGGTAAAGAATAAAATTTAACCTAAAATTAGCAAATAAAATAAATTTTATTATGAAAGAATCTGTATGACTAAGAAAACCAAGTGTGCAAAATGCAAATTTTATATGCTCTAAATAGCTACATTTGAGAGAATAGTGGGGACAAACTCCACTTTATAAAGCTGTTATTGAGTACAGCGTGCTGAGTAACCTGAACTTTTCTCATGTATTCAGTGCATGTCCTGTTCAGTTTGTTGGTTCCTCCTTTGCTTCAGGTGAATAAAACTACAGTGGCATGTGTGTTTGGTCGCTAAGTCCTGTCTGACTCTGCAACAACCCCATGTACGGTAGCCCGCTAGGCTCCTCTGTCCGATGGGATTTTTCAGGCAAGAATATTGGAGGGGGTTGCCATTTCCTTCTCCATGGGATCTTCATGACCCAGGGATTAAATCCACACCTCCTGGATTGGCAGGCAGATTCTTTACTACTGAGCCTCCTGGGGAAGCACAAATTACAGCTGACCCTTGGACAAAACAGGTTTGAACTTTGTCAGTACACTTTTATGCAGTATCTTTTCAATAAATACTGCAGTACAACCTGATTCAATAGATGCAGTTGGTTGGATACCACAGGTAAGCTGACGGTATAGTTATATGTGGATTTTCCACTGCCTGCATTGTCCATAACCCCTCTGCATTGTTCAAGGGTCAACTTGTATTTGTAATTTTGTAGTATGAAGCATAAGCTTGCATGTATGATTATAAGAACAATACTTACTCACGGTGACAAGGCACTGAAGCATGATAAATGAACAAAAATAAGTAATTCCCCCTTATTCTTGGGGGGAACTATTTCCCCCAAAACCCTCAGTGGGTGCCTGAACCTAGGCGTAGCACCAAACCCTAAGTAGTCCCCCTTCATCCAAGATTTTACTTTCTACAGGTTCAGTTAGCTTCACTCGACCACTTTTGACTGTGGATAAGTGAAACCACGGAAAGCAAAGCCATTGATAAAGAAGGATGACATTTATATAAAATATCTTGCCTATTTTTAGAGGAAAAAAACTTGCATCAAGATAATGAAATAAGCTGGCCAAATGAAAATTTGAAAAAAGTTCATAAAGTCAATCTCTTTCTGTCAAAAGTATCAGTACATGTGTGCAGGAATGTGAGTCACACTACTATCTTTGCTTAGACATCATCCAGACCAGTGTTAGACTAGTAACTGTCTAAGCATTGCAATTTAGCAGAATAAATTATTGACACTTCTGTTTTCTGATGAACTTGATTTAACAGCACTGGGCTGTGTGCACTTTCTCACTTCAGTTTTAAGTTCAAAGCAGACAGAGTCTAGGCAGTACCCAGGTCTGCCCATAACTAGACATCTCTGGGTGCAGGGTCCTGAATGGCATAATAATGAGCTTTCATGTTTAGAGAAGAAGGCACAGAAGAACACATTGGGTCATCCAGCAGATTTTTTAGGACTTTTTGCCCCTTGGGACTCTTCACTACCATCCACGGGACTGCTTGAATAAAGGATAATGATTCTGGGAAAGGTCAGACAGATTCTCAACTAGGTGATGGCACAGAATCTGCAAACAGACAAATAATACACACCTATATCCATTTCAGAAATAAAAGATTTATAATTTTAAAATCATTTTATATTCCGTCTGACATAACTGCAAACGACATTAATATTGAATAATTTTGTGGCATTTATATAGAAAATATCTTTTCAAAAGAGATGATTTGAGTTGTATTCCTGATGTTACATAAACGAAACTAGAATTTGACCCTCGGTATTTCCTGCTCTGAATTTTTAATGAATTGCAATCCACAGGTTTCTATAGAGATGCTCCTCAAGCATCCTAAACATGGGACAAGATAGTGCTACGTGGGACAGAGGAGACCAAGTTAGGAATCAGGGTTTCAGTGGACCCACAAATGCTGTAACCTAAGTCACTTGGCTTGGGCTTCCATGTAAGGATTTGAGTGAAGAACCAGTTCAGCTGCTTAAATGAAAAACTGGGGATCTCATCTTACAATCTTACTTTACACATAAAGAAATTGAGGAACAGAGCAATTAAATAGCTTGCCCATGGTCATCTGGCATAGAGTGGCCAATCACACTTTGTTTTCATCTCAAGTCTCCCACCCTCAATTACAGCAGTTTGGATCCCTGTATTTTGATGTCTACCTCAAATATAACTTACAGATGAGAATTGGGGAATGGTCTATAGGATAGGCATTCAGTAAAATAGTACTTGATAAGTTCCCCTGAATATGATCACTTACATACAGTACAGCACACTCAAAATGATATTCACAAGTAGAAAAGAGATTCTACTTGTGAATATCTAGTAATTATTATCAAGTTTAAATAATTTATTCCACTGTATTATGACAATCCTACCCAAAGCCATAGAAGGGAGCATGTTATTCTTCATCCTCTGTATTAAATCGTTTCAGTCATGACCAATGTGACCCTATGGACTGTGGCCCGCCTGGCTCCTCTGTCCATGGAATTCTCCAGTCTAGAATACTGGAGTGGGTGGCCATTCCCTTTTCCAGGGGACCTTCCTGACCCAGGGATCGAACCTGTGTCTCTTGCATCTCCTACACTGGCAGGCGGGTTCTACCCCCAAGCAATTAATAAAGGAAGGAAAGCTATGCCAAACTTAGTGTACTGAAAAGCAGAGGTATCACTTTTCCTACAAAGGTCCGTATAGCCAAAGCTATGGTTTTTACAGTGGTCATGTACCGATGTGAGAGTTGGACCATAAAGAAGGCTTAATGCCAACAAATTGATGCTTTCAAACTGAGGTGCTGGAGAAGACTCTTGAGAGTCCCTTGGACTACAAGGAGATCAAACCAGTCAATCCCAAAGGAAATCCACTCTGAATATTCATTGGAAGGACAGGTTGAAGCTCCAGAACTTTGGCCACCTGATGTGAAGAGCCGACTCATTGGAAAAGACCTGATGCTATGAAAGACTGAAGGTAATAGGAGAAAGGGGTAGCAGAGGATGAGATAGTTTGATAGCATCATGGATTCAATGCATATGAATCTGAGCAAACTCCAGGAGATAGTGGAGGACAGAGGAGCCTGGCGTGCTGCAGTCCATGGGTTGCTAAGAGGCACTAATGACTTAGCAACTAAACAACTCAACTTGCTCAGAGACATAAAATTCCACAGGAAAAATAAATCACTTGTTTAGGCTTGTGTGTTTTGTTTACATTGGGAAAAAACATGTGACATTAATGACTATTCAAGCTTCTTAGCCACCAGGACCTCAGTGTGAATCAGTTTGTTCATCCTGATTTACAGTGGATCATCCTAGGTATTTGGTATAAGTGAATGGAAATCCTGAAGAATGAAAAAAGTTTGTAAGATTTGCCTTTTTCCATTTTGAGGGAAAGTCTTATTCCTTTATTTTATTAACACTATTCTTAACATTTTCTTAGCTAAGCAATTAATACTTTTAAAAAATTAAATGCTTACTCAAATGGGGAGAAATACTAATAAAACTAAAACCATCAGAATGGTACTGCAACCACAACCAAGCTATGGAGGGAAAATCTGAAACCATAACGAAGTATGATTTTTACTATTATCCTTACAAGACTGACAAAAATACTGTGTGTCCCTCCAACCTATTGCAATTTTTGTTTTCCTTGGGCAAGGGCATTCTGAAGTAGGGAATATTTGTTTACAAGCTACAAAGCACAATCTGTTTATCAATGTCAGGTCAACTCTAGTATAGATTTCTTACTGAAATCAAAACTGCTCAAATAGTATGTTTTAGGTATTTGAATAATAAAGTCTTGTTACAATAGGATCTACTTAATACGCTAAGAATTTTCTTCCAAAGACAAGACTGAGTGAAATACATATTGACACAATCTAATTGATTTTAACAGAATTGTTATGAATCAGTTTATTATTGTTGTTTAGTCTCCAAGTCATGTCTGATTCTTTTGTGACCTCATTTACTATAGCCCACTAGGCTCCTCTGTCCATGGGATTTCCCAGACAAAATTACTGGAGTGGATCGCCATTTGCTTCTCCAGGGGATCTTCCCAACCCAGGGATCCAACCCACATCTCCTGTATAGGCAGCCAGATTCTTTACCACTGAGTCACCAGGGAAGCCCTATGAATCAGCTCCCTACAGCAAAAGGAAAACTATTGCTCTTAAATATGTTAAAATATACATATTTGAGGCTAGTAAGAAAGCAATACCTATTACAGAATCTAGATATACTCTACCTTACATATTTTCTTCAAGTTCTGTTCACCTTTAGATGATATAAAAATCAGTTATTAAAAAGAAAATATTCTGTAAAATATTTCAACATTTGCAACACAGTTGATACAAAAGAATTCAAGCATGAACTCAATATCCATGAAAAAGGAATTTTCTTTTAACAGTGATTATAATTTTGGTGGTATTAGAGAGTAGTGTAGTGTTAATTTTCTGACAATGTATTTCCCTAATTTACTCGTGTTTTTTTGTTTTAATAGATAGGTTACCACTGATTAGAAGAACTGACTCCTTCTAAGACTCATCAGATTATTTCCTGTAAAAACTGTATCTTTCTAATTGTGAAAAAGGTAAAGAAAACATCTGTTACCATTCTTGTTTAGCATTTAGATGGAATACACCCCAGTCAACCCACATTCAATCTGCAGGAGAACACTAGGTTCAGCTCAGTTCAGTCACTCAGTCGTGTCCAGCTCTTTGTGACCCCATGAATGCCAGGCATGCCAGGTGTCCCTGTCCATCACCAACTCCCGGAGTCCACCCAAACTCATGTCCATTGAATCAGTGATACCATCCAACCATGTCATCCTCTGTCATCCCCTTCTCCTCCTGTCCTCAATCTTTCCCAGCATCAGGGTCTTTTCCAATGAGTCAGCTCTTTACATCAGTTGCCCAAAGTATTGGAGTTTCAGCTTCAGCATCAGTCCTTCCAATGAACACCCAGGACTGATCTCCTTCAGGATGGACTGGTTGGATCTCCTTGCAGTCCAAGGGACTCTCAAGAGTCTTCTCCAACACCACAGTTCAAAAGCATCAATTCTTCGGCGCTCAGCTTTCTTCACAGTCCAACTCTCACATCCATACATGACCACTGGAAAAACCATAGCCTTGACTAGACGGACCTTTGTTGGCAAAGTAATGTCTCTGCTTTTTAATATGCTGTCTAGGTTGGTCATAACTTTCCTTCCAAGGAGTAAGCGTCTTTTAATTTCATGGCTGCAGTCACCATCTGCAGTGATTTTGGAGCCCCAAAAAATAAAGTCTGACACTGTTTCCACTGTTTCCCCATCTATTTCCCATGAAGTGATGGGACCAGATGCCATGATCTTAGTTTTCTGAATGTTGAGCTTTAAGCCAACTTTTTCACTCTCCTCTTTCACTTTCATCAAGAGGCTCTTTAGTTCTTCTTCACTTTCTGCCATAAGGGTGGTGTCATCTGCATATCTGAGGTTATTGATATTTCTCCCGGCAATCTTGATTCCAGCTTGTGCTTCTTCCAGCCCAGCGTTTCTCATGATGTACTCTGCATATAAGTTAAATAAGCAGGGTGACAATACACAGCCTTGCCATACTCCTTTTCCTATTTGGAACCAGTCTGTTGTCCCCCAGGTAGTATTGCGCAAATGGCTGTGTTTAGGTGGAAAATCCAGATGGAGGGCAAAAATGTCTGTAAGTGTCCCAGGCTGACAGAAAGTAGGCAGAGGGCAAGAGTACGTAAACATATTCTCCATAGATAAGATTTCAGTATGTTAATCATCCACAGGGAAAAAAAATTTAAAGAGGAGAATTTTGAAGAAATGCTCTATGTGATGATATTTATTATTTCTACCACTGGTAGGTAGGTCACATTAAAAAAACAATTACAAGACCTAGAAAGTTTTATTTAAAAAAAAATCTGTCTATAACTGGCAAGATGATTTGTTTCGGTTGCGTGTTTTCCTTGTACTTTGATCTTTTTGTACTGATATTTATGCTTCTGTTTTATGATCTCCTCCTAATGACAGAACCAGACCTCTTGGCAACCACCTTCATCAGACCCGGGAGTTTGAAAGAAGCAGGTGCTGCACTTCAGTTTTTCCTTGAACAAGAAACATGGGCTGCAATCGAAACTGTGGGCTCGTTGCTGGTGCTGTCATTGGTGCAGTCCTGGCTGTGTTTGGAGGGATTCTAATGCCAGTTGGAGACATGCTTATTCAGAAGACAATTAAAAAGGTAAAAGTGGTATCAAGAATATTTCTTTTCATCCTGATTCAGTCTAACTTGACTTATTTTTGGCTTAGGGTTCCTGTTTTATATTTCATTATAATAGGCAATTATGTGTCTAACACAAAGGTGATTTTGAACAACTGAAACTCTACATGATAAAGAAATAATCAAAGTATGATGTATACTCTATATGAATGCACTGTCATCTTAAGCCTAAATATTTAATTTCTGATAAAAACTATTCTAAGTATGCAGGTAATTAGAAATAATTCCATTTAATTATGTACAAAGGGTATGCTGATATGCTTTTCATATGCTTTTGAATGAGAAATGAGTGTTATTCTGTGAGGGTACATTTATAAAAGTAGTTGCACTTTGGTTACAGTTGATTAAAGTAAAATCATATATAACTTAAAACTATGTTTAATAAGTATAACTTAAAATTGTGTTTAATATTGATTTAGGAATATTTGGTAAAACTGGTAAAATTTACTTTTTTTGGGTAAACTGTTTTATATGTGTGTAATATTAATAATATATGATTCTTATAAACATTTCCTACTGATGAAGGTTGATAAGGGACTTTTAGAAAATACTTTCAAAAATGTTACGCAGAACATATCCCAGTATATATATATATATATATATATATATATATATATATATGTGATATATATATATATATATATGTATATGTATGCAAACAAGTTCACTATAGATTTAACTAAAAATAAAGTGACTTAATATATAGGCTTTGTACAACAAACTGAAATCTGTCTCTCATCCCAGTCCCTTCTGATTCAGCTTTATACTCACCAACTTTAATTGATAAAGAAAAGGAAGACTAGAATAAGAAGTACATCTGCTGAAATCCTAAACCAAGGATAGCAAATTCAAATGACTTCAGGGCTTGGAGACAAGCCTTAAAGAAAAGCTACCAAGAACAATATAAAAACAAGACAATGACTACTGTGAAGTTAAAAGTGTGTGCCCTGCTCAGAGGCATGTATGTTTATTTTTAAAATATAATGCTGGCCAAATAAACATATTTGAGTGCTAGCCTCAGCTGTCATCCTGGTTCAGATGCCAGTGGTCTAGATGGCAGTAAGCAGAATGCACAGAGGAGATCAACAAGAACTGAATCATAAATGGGCTAGACACCAACTCATACTGGAGTTTCTGTTCCTGTCAAGACCTTTATCTGTCTCATCCATTCACCCATGTTTGACATCCTACTCTTACTAGGAGTAAATAATTATAATTATTTTTCACTAAAGCACTGCCTGACTTAATACGAAGATTTAACTTCAAATCTAGTTACCCAGGACAAGAAGTTACTATTTTCCAAAGCTTTTTTGGTTTTTGTTCAGCTAAATGCTTAGTCTGTAAATTAAATTTTTTTCTGGCTGTACTATTATAGCTATTGTCTTAGTACAACAGATTATGAAGTAGGACATTTTTGGTACAGTTTCTATACATTTGCTTAATAATCACACAGGCGTTTCTATCTTTTCTCTTGCTAACTGACAGCAAAAATTTTAACCTCATGCATTTAACTGGAAATATTATACATTAAATACCATCTCCTTCCTTGGAATTCCCCACTTTTCTTGATATTATTTTAATATAGCTCAATAGAGACAGACAGGAGTTGGTGAGGTGTGGGGTGTCTAACATGTTAGAGAGAACTGCTATTGTTCTATATCCTTTCTGCTCTGTAAACTCACTTCCCTTCTGTATCTGTGGAGTGAGAACAGGATAAATTTTGACACACAGACTATAATTTTTTTTTAATCTTCAGAAGAGAAAAGCGACAATAATCTTCCGGTGCACAGCATCTTAGACTAAGATTTTCTGTCATACTTGATCATCAGCAGCGAACAATGATCATCTATTGTTTCTTCTTCTTATTCTACAACATTATACAGAGTCTCTGTTAGACATCATGAGAGGCACTAACATCTATTTTAATTGTTTAATATTTATCTCTAAGTTCATATGGCTAATCTTGAGGAAATAAGAGTTTTCAGACATCAAAAATTTGTATAGTGGCTGAGAGAATAAATATTTATCTTAAGAAATATAAATTTTAATTGGGAAAAAGCATATTGTAAAAATAATTACAGAGACTTGTGAAACTCTGTAATTGAATTCTAAAGCATACACTATTTAGAAAGAGAACTTTCGCAGAGTATTCAGTAACTTCAGGAAGAAACTGAGACTTGAGTTGGATTTTGAAGTATAAAATTTTGAAAGTCCAAAGAGAGTTCCAATAAAAGTGTCAAGGGACTGCTTAATGCCATGGAAAAAAGTTGTGGAAATGCAACTAAATACTGTGATGACAGAAGGAAAAAAAAATTTTTTTTAGAAAAATATTTTTTTAAATGTGTCAAAATAAAGAAATAACAGCAGAGATGATTAGAAAGATAATAACATGGGGTAAAATTTAGGAAACTTTTGAGCATCAGGCAGAAGACTAATTAATGACATGACAAGCAATAGTAGTGTATATTTACCTGTAGTTGTTAGATATAACAAAATCTGCATTTGGAGACTGGTATCAAATATACTATATACTAGTAAGTTATATGCCACACATACTAGTATATTATACTATATACTAAATAAATAAAGCATTTTTTAGTCCTACTAAGAGCTTCATATATACTAATTCATTTAATCTTCACAAATATCTATGAGAAGGTACTACCATCACAAGACCTTAAATCAACCTGACAACTCACCTAGCCAAAAGGAATAGGAGTTAAGTTTCTAAACCGAGGCAATCTGAAGGCCGAGATGAGATGATTTATACATTTTGCACTCTCTAATTCTACAGCAGAAAATATTGGAAAGTGAGGAGACCAAATACAGGAAATGTTATGCAGGACATGACCACTTTCAAGGAGAATTTAACACTCACTTTTAAATAGATCTTTGCACAGTTTGCACATAACAAAAGGCTCTCTGGTCTAGTGTGATGGAGTATGTAGAACTGATGGGTGATGGAATGCAATGGGTAGAAGAACTAACTAAATAGGGGGAGAGAGAAGTAAAAATTTCAAACTACAAGATATCCAGTTGTGTTCTTGATAGAAACATGTATACCTTGGAAGAGTAAAGCACAGAGGTTTTATAAGTGATTTGAAAAGAACGTCAGTGTATATTTCAAAGGGAAGGTTCAGAGATTTGTTCATTATTATGGAGAATACAGATAAAACTAAACAATAGATATGTTTAAGGAGAGTTTTAATATAGAGACAAAAGAGCAGAGAAATTACTATGGGATTTGTGCATTCATAGGTAAGTAGGAAGACAACAGAAAACAGAAAAATTACTTTATACGAAGCAATGAAAAAAATAGACTAATTTTTTTAGAAGTTATTATGAAGCCAATTTTTAAGGAAAAAGTAAAATTATCTCAGGCAAATGAAAATTAAGGAAATAGTAGTTAGAACACAGTCACTAATAACTTTAAAATTGTATTTTCAGTAGTGCCGAGCAATAAAGTGGGATAAAATAAAGAAATAGAATGCTTTCCCTTCTTATTTTTGAAATGAGGGTTACCTGCAATCTTTGGGTCACACTGTAACCCAGCTCAATATTCACAGACTAAGACATCATCTCTAAGACATCACTTCTCAGCCTGCTGGTTAAGATCAAGTGGCTCAGATGATAAAGCATCTGCCTGCAATGCAGGAGACTTGGGATCAATCCTGGGTCAGGAAGATCCCCTGGAGAAGGAAATGGCAACCCATTCCAGTACTCTTGCCTGGAAAACCCCATGGTCAGAGGAACTTGATAGGTTACAGTCCATGGGTTCCAAAGAGTCAGACACGACTAAACGACTTCACTTTCATTTTTCAAGACATCATCAGAAGCCCTTCAATGGTCAGGAGCTGTGTAGTATAGTTAAGACAGACTGCTTTTGCTCTCAGATTTTCATATAGCTGTGTTGACCTTGCTTATTTTAATTATGTAAAGATGTTGGGACTTTTTCTTTATTTAAATAAAACTGTTTCTTTTAAATTTAGTTTACAAAATTATTTTAAATATGAGATTAGCATATGTATCAGTTTGGCATACGTGTAGAGGTCAAATCTTTGAATTATGTGTAAGCACAGAGAGCCAAGTGTCTCGCCCCTGCCTTAAGAGCACTTAGGTTAATACTGCTATTTTACAAATATTTATATATATATATATGTTGTACTACCAGTCAGTTTATCTCTACAATTAAAACTCATTGCATGTAACTTGCATTATTTAATGGACTAACAGCAAGTTGTCAAAACTATTACCTATATATAAGCACCATAAAAAAATTAAAGTGCTTAATTTAAAAAGATAAGAAAACCATCTTAGCTTGTTCTCTAGAGTTGGAACTCTGATAATTTCTGGTTCTCAAAGATGACACCTGATACCAGTATCTGAAATGGCATAAAATAGTCGATACATTTTACCATTATATTTCTTTACTCACTGTTTCCAAAGGAAATTTTGTAGGGTTTTTATGCATTACAGGTAATTATGCATTATGTAGGGTTTTATGCATTATAGCTGAATGCTTTTATACCAGTGTTTCAGATCATGATTCCTAGTAGAATTGAGTGGGACCAGCAGATTTATGCAATCTTGCTAGATAGACTAAAAGTCAACGGCATGAGCTGCCACTAATGTGGAAAGCAGAAATTATCAAAGGACTTCAGTAAAAGGTCAAAGTTCTGGCACCACTCACAAAGGATAATTTATCACCTGACACTATAAAATATCACTTGATTAATGTTGCTGAATATTATATAACAGGCAATTTTAAATAGTTTGAATTCACCTATGATATTAACCATGGAATATCAAGACAGACAATCAAGATATCTTTTTCAATTAAAAGACTAATGTTCAATCATACCATCATTCAACTACACCATTTCCTTTCCCGATTCTTGAAAACAATAATCTTCTCGTAGCCAAAAAAATGCTTCCATATAAAATAAACATAAATGATTATAATTTTGACTTATTAAAATGACTATAATTTCAAAGCAACAGTCAATATTTGATAGCAAACTTTATACACATATATATTAATTTCATGATGTATGCTTAGACTATTTCTAGATATGATAAAATAATTTTTACCTTATTATAGTATCTGAAAGCTCAAAAAAGTGCCAGATGTATATAGGTTGTTAAAGATAGTAGAATTTGCTTTAAATTTAATAATAACATGAGAACATGAAATAATCTAAAATAAATTCTAAATTTAAATAGTAAAACATGGATTAAACATTAATTTGCACATTAACTCCAATAATAAAATCATTTAAAAGTGTTTTAAGAAACAGGTCAGCATGTGTAATTTTCTTCCTACAGCCCAATTTAATATCAACATAGTACACTTTTCATGCCAAATAAAAATTCTCCCATTTTAGGTAATTACATAAACACTTGGAGGCTGATTTCTTGAGTTTCTGAAACATATTATATCTAATCAATTCCACCAATTGTTATTCTGAGGTTTAACTGATGACTTGATAATAACCTGAGACCAAAAGCACTTTTTGACTGTTAGCACAACTAGCACCAATATTCTTTTTTTATTTGTTTTGTTTTTTTTTAATTTGATTTTTATTTATTTTCNAAGACTTCTTGTAACTGGTTCTAAACAGAATAAACTGGGGTAGTAAGTGAAGAAGATAAAGACTCTTTTCAGTATGTTTCTGCTTTTTTAGGGAAGTTTTGATTTCAGTGGATGGAGAATAAATATAGAAATGATTAAATAGCAGAAGTGTCACAGGATTTTATATGAGTGATTGCCACATGACTGGTTCAGACAGGAATGCTATGAATGAAATAATTAATATAATTATACCATATTCCACATATATTGACTTTCAGAAATATTAATTTCATATAGTTCAACCTCATATTATTTCTAATATTATTGTTATCCCTGTTTTACACATAAGGAAGCTGAGGTATAAGAAATCAAATAATCTGCCCAAGTTTAAATGGTTAGCATATGATCAAACTGGGAATCAAACTCATAGCATCTATTTCACTGTTAACCACTTCACTCTGGGCTTCCCAGGAGGCTCAAACAGTAAAGAATCTGCCTGCAATGCATGAGACCCAGGTTCAACCCCTGGATCAGGACGATCCCCTGGAGAAGGGAACAGCAATCCGCTCTTGTATTCCTCCCTGGAGAATTCCAAGGACAAAAGATCCTGATGGGCAACAATCCATCCAGTCACAAAGAGTGACATGACTGAGCAATTAACGCTTTCACTTTTCACTCTAGGCTTTGAGTAAAGAAGCCAATATACTTAGTCAGGTTGGTAGCAGGGTAAAGGAAATCTGCTCTATGTGATTCCATCTTTCAGTACTCTATAAGAACCTTGAGAAATGGGACAGTATTATATTCCGTATATGTATTCTATACAGTTCATTCACAGGATCATAGTTAGACTAAAGTTGCCCATCATGTGGATGAGTACTGCTCTCCCATAACAGCAATAATCAAGTGACCACAGGACTAGATAGAGGGTATAACAGTCCCAGACATCTGCCTTCAAATTAATGTAGCAAACAGAACTTTCAAAATAAATGGCTTTCAACTCAGCCGAAGACCCTGCCACACTAGAGTCAACAGGCTGAAATCCAGGGCTAAATGCTTAAGGTCAAGGATAGATACTGATGTATGTTATCAGCCAAGGGAGAGGATCTTCAATTATATTATTTTTTTTTTACACAGAATTTCACCTTTGTATTTCAAATTTACTGAGAGATGCACAAAATATACCAGACAGTCCAAAGTCAATTTAAAATCAAGGCCTTCTAAATTCACAAAGAACATAAGAACTTGAACTCCTTTTTAAGAAGAGGTTATGATATATTTAGTCTTGATAGTCAAAGAGGTCTATACAAATTTCTAGTACCTAGGTAGTCTTAGGATCAGAAGAAATTCATTCCTGTTCTGACTGATTCAATATTTTTCTCTGTCTCTGTCCAAATTGTGGTTTTATAAAAACCACACAAGATTGGCGTGAAATGCCGGATTCACCATTATCTACTACCAAATTGTTGTGCAACATTGAATCAGACATCTGTTTTTCTAGGACCCACTTCTACTACTAAAGAAAAAGTGGATGGCGTTAGATGACCCTAACTCTAAAGCTAGAAATTCAATGCACTCATTTAAACTCTTCGTGTTTCAACTTCCATATTTAAAAATTATCTCCAGATTGACAAATAAGACAAAGTAACTCATGGCCCTTAGAAGAAAGACATGATATAGTTACAATGTTTCTTTATATAAAATGCACAAGCCTTAGAGTCAGGGAGATTTCTGTCCCACCAAGTACATTATTGAAATCAAATATGTGTCTTAAGAGGTAATGATAAACAAGTGATATTATACTAGTCCTTAAGATTCTACCGTGTGAAAGGAATAACGTACATGTGTATATGTTCACATGTGTTCTCCTCTCATAATTTCTCTTGAAATGGGTCAATGAACATAGCGTGCAGCTTCCATGTAGATTTCAGCTTCAAAACCCTCATCATTCACAGTAAACACCTTTACATTTAGAATAGCCATAATACTTATCTATACATAAATTTGTCTTGATTTGGGTTTGCTATGGAATTAAGACTTTGGGGGAGTAATAAAACAATCTTCAAGGACAATTGCTTGTTAAAAGTACTAAGGTCTCACACTGCTTTAATAGTTGCCATGTACCCAGTGTAAAAGGATTGTGACAGCACTGGATTTTGTAATGGCATTTTAGTTGATGCCCTGTTCTTCTCTAAGGAATTCCCTTTTTCTCTCCATTAAGCAATAAGTCAAGTGTCCTGAAGATTGCTAATTCACTTTGACTTCTACCAACTAAATGCAGAGGTGACGGCAACAAAAAATATACCAGGGTGTAAAAGAGGACTAGCCTAAGGGTCAGAGATTAGGATCTTCATTGTGATTCTGCCACTAGTCATTTGCCTCAGTGACCCTTGAGCCAGGAACCTGGTTTCTCAGAGTGTCAGCATGCTCTCCTAGAAAATGTGCTAATAATGTTCACTGTCCTTTTCTGATCCATCGTTCTATGAATTGATGCTTCCTGGTGAACTAAACAAACAGGTGAGATTGTTCTTGTGGGTTTTAGGCTTATTTTCTGTGAAATGCTTTCCTTCCTCTTCCTCTAGCAGTAAAAGGGTAAGCTGGAGCTTTCCACCTGAGTATGTATTCCTTCCAAGGTAGTTAATTGGAAACATTGCCTGCCACAAAGTCACCTTTGTCTCCATTAGCTACTAGAGTTCCATAGGCTTCTTGCTCAGAGAGTAAAAGCCTTGGAAGGAACCTGGGAGAGCATCTATGATAACTCCCTCACTTTACAGATAATAAAATTGACCTTAAAGGGTTTGGTGACTCTCTATTCTGTCTCAGCTCCTAAACTATTAATAGATACTTAGGTATCCATACTAATAGATACCTAGGTTTCTGCAAATGTACTGAGAGGAAAGCCTCATTGATCAGGGTTTTGAATGGGAGAAATCAAAGTTGTGTTTCTCTTAATAAATGTTAACTGATTTTCCCCTGAAGTATCCAACTTCTGAAGAAAATGAGAAAACTTCTAATTCCACTAGATTTTTTCTGTTTTTCCCTTTTGCCTCTTCAGTCTGACTCATTGAGGGTACATAAGAAATTAATATTCAACCTGATAAGAACTTTTTTGAAATGCTTTAATTAAACTTGCTTAATAAACTGTTACAAACTGTTGCAATATAGAAATAGGGTCACTCTAAAGCTTGCCAATGATTGGCCTTACAATCACCAGACATGTTTGCAATATTACACATTGATTTTCCTAGCTGACTAAAGAGATTGCTAACCATGATGTGTTGAAAACATTTCTGTTGCAAGCTTGTGGCAGGTTGCAATGGTTTTCATGAGTAGGGTACTTAAGCTTGGTCTTTCACAGGCTAACTAAAGATTTTAAACTCCCAACAGGTGCCCATATTGGCTACAAAAAAATAATCCAAACTTATTTTCTTTTTCATAGGAAGTTGTCCTTGAAGAAGGCACAATTGCCTTTAGCAATTGGGTTAAAACAGGCACAGATGTTTACAGACAGTTTTGGATATTTGATGTGCAGAATCCAGATGAAGTGGCACTTAATAGCAGCAAAATTAAAGTTAAGCAAAGAGGTCCTTACACGTACAGGTGAGTCCCCAAAATACGTGGCCCTCTTTCTTTGAACACATGTATTTCTGAAAAAGCTTCCACTTGACAAATGTCACTGTATTGAAATGTACTTATTATTTTCTTACCATTAATATAGATGGAAATATTTTGTTTCTGCCTACATAAAACCCTAATCTAAGGATTTAATGATTATTAAAAAACAGATTTTATTATGAATTTTCCAGCATCAGTTAACTACCCTACATTTAACAAGTCACACATGTTTTACACTTGTGGCATATATGTTTCACAAACTCTGAAATATGCATCCAAATAGAAAAAATCTATCAAAATTTTTAAAATGAGTATTTTAAAATCTTAAAATTGAAAAGTATAGGTATATGAGTAGTTCTCAAAGTATGGCTCCTGGACCAGTATCATCAGCATCACCTCGGAACTAGGCAGAAGTGCAGATTCTCAGGCCCCACCTTAGACCTAGTGGATCAGAGACCCTTGGTTTGAGCCTGGCAATGAGTTTTACAAATATTCTGGGTGACTGCAGTACATAGTCAGTTTTGCTAACCACAGCATTAAACTTCTATGTAAGTAAAATACCTGTTTAGGATTTCTATTCAAACATTTTCCAGGTCTTAAGAGTGTATTTATACAGTAGCTTCATTCTTATATTTTCTCCAGTACTAAGACTGAATAAAAAATACCTTTATCTACAGGCCTTAACAGTTTAACACATTTTGAATAGAATCTAAGATCCATCAGATGTAGGGGGAAATAATTAGCCAGGACTTATCATTTTGTAAATTTAAAAATCAAACTGACATCAGGCAAGTGAAATGGTTTGTCCACGATGACAAAATCTTGGAAACTGGGTAACTGCTAGATATTTGTGTACATTTTCCCCCTATCAAAATTATAGATTGAAGTGCTAAAAACACTAACCTTAGCCAAGTATTAGGACATTTATAGAGCCCATATGGAAACAGAATTAAGTCCTGTTGTATCACTTATTATATAAATTTTGATTTTTCAAGGATAATTACAACTAGTTATAGACAATAATCAAGTATTATCAGAAAACTTCATATTTGTAAAGATTTCTAATTCATAGTTTTACGTAGTCTATAATTATGTAATTTCTTTCCTCTCCATGCATTAATCTATTTCTATATCAGCAATTTATGCTCAAATATAATGAAGTAACAATAGTTGGGGAGGGGTGATGCCTGCTGCTGTAACATAATATATAAGCTGTAGAGCGCCATGGTGCTATCCCACCCTAGTAATTATCCCCATCTCCTGTCTTCAGACATATGTCTATTACTCTCCACATCTCGGTCAAAGAAATCTTGGTTTTCATTGTTACAGAAAAAAATCTTACTTTCAGAAATATTAAAAAAAATTTTTTCCAGAGTCTTATACTTCTTATATCACTATCAAAAGCCTGATATAAGATATCTGAATATCTTCTTCCAAAAAACATGTACTCTGAAAATCTAGAACTCACGTATGACCTAATATAATCTAAGTATAACTGATTAAACTTCTGTCATAGCTCAGTTGTTAAAGATTGATAACTGCAGTGCCAGAGTCCGCCTGCAGTGCAGGAGACCCGGGTTCAGTTCCTGAGTTGGGAAGATCCCCTGGAGAAGGAAATGGCAACCCACTCCAGTGTTCTTGCCTGGGAAATCCCATGGACAGAGGAGCCTGGCAGGCTACAGTCCATGAGGTCTCAAGAGCTGGACATGACTTAGCAACTAAACCACCAAACCATAACTGATTAAAAATCGTACCCTTAGAGAACTGAATACATGTATTAAGAGAAAATAGGTGGTATTTGAGATCTATCTCATCATAGGTTTTGCTTAATTTTTTGCTTGTTTGGCAGGGCGGTGGTGGTGGTGGGGGAGTATGTTTTTACTTTTAAGGGTGAGTGAAGTCGCTCAGTCATGTCCGACTCTTCCGACCCCATGGACTGTAGCCTACCAGGCTCCTCTATCCATGGGATTTTCCAGGCAAGAATACTGGAGTGGGTTGATATTTCCTTCTCCAGGGGATCTTCCCAACCCAGGGATCGAACCCTGGTCTCTCGCATTGCAGGCAGACGCTTTACCCTCTGAGCCATCAGGGAGATCCCTCTTTTAAGGGTATTCATTGTGGAATGTAAAAAACAAACGTAATATAGAATCCTGTCCCAGTCCTGCTCTGATAGGTGATAAGATACATATCTTATTCTTGAAGGCTAAAACCTTCATTCTCTAAAGGATAAAAATGGAGTGGATTAGATATAATTCATTTACTTGGAGAAGCAATGAGGTGGGGGGTGGAGAAATTGGATTTTCAGCTAAAGTATGTAAACAAACTCAAATTTATATAACAATTCTAAAGGAATCTCATGATGTCTTATTATGTTGACAAAGGAATCCTTACTGTCTACCTAGATGCCTTAAATAATGGGAAAACAATGGTTACCTTTCAGAAAAAGTAAATTGTTTGAGAGTCTTCCATGTGTTGAGGTGAATTTACTTCCTATCAACTACACCCTGAATTCAGTTGAAATTGGAAGTGAAGGAGGATGTCCCTCCTCAACAGAACCACACGGGCTTATTTGCCTTTTAGCTGCTGAAGTGAGCTTGATGAAACTTTGACAGGATGTGACATGGGTCAGAGCATGAAACTTCCTGGATTGAGATGTTAATTATGTATACCATCTCTATGAAGACCTGGTAACTCCTTCAGAATATTCTCAGATTGAACATAAATTTTTTAATTACTTTGCTTTGGCAGAAGTACATGGAAAACAATATGAAGCAGTTTCCTCCCTTTGACCTTATTAACCAACACTCTGTAAAACCTGAATACATTTGAATTTTTAAACAAAAACTTGAGTATTTATAATCTCTTTTTAAAAGTACATTCTAAACACAGACCTCAGTTTTAAGGATTTTTTTTCTGTTAGTGAGTGCCATCTGCTGGTATAATGTAAGTACAACTAAGTGAACTACAATTTGGGTCACAATTATGGCTCAGCTGGTAAAGAATGTGCCTGCAATGTGGGAGACCTGGGTTCAATCCCTGGGTTGGGAAGATCCCCTGGAGAAGGGAAAGGCTACCCACTCCAGTATTCTGGCCTGCAGAATTCCATGGACAGTATAGTCACAAAGAGTCAGACATGACTGAGTGACTTTCAGTTACTTACACTTACTTATATTGATATTATTTCAAACATATAAAATAAATGTTCCTGAAAATTATGTTAATTTTAAATATGAATATGTAATATAATTTTAACATGTAATTATCTAATATAAAAGAGTAACTGACTAGTAATAGATTCTCCAGGATGATGTCTCAGATATTTATATTCTTTGTACATCTACAGTACTCCAAGGAGAATAAATAATAAAAAGCTTGATGAAATTGTATTAGAAATAATATATATTTCCGTATTTTTGTGAATTCTCTTTTTAAAGAGTGTAAAAAATAATTTCTTCATTCAAAAACATTTACCAAGAACTTACCCATGTACCAGACACTGCTTGGGGATACAAAATACTCATAATACCTATGGCAAAGGAATTTACATTTTTATTATACTTGATTGAAATCAGGTCAGGTTTTTCTGGTTGGTCTTGTTTTTTCCATTTCAGTCCCATGGTTTTTCAATCTTTATCTTAGATAACAACAGATAACATTTAGAAGCTCACATGATAGAGACATTCAGATATATGATAGAACAGTGAATAATGTACACCTTATTCCATCTCAGTAAATATCCTGTATGTACAGAAGATTTTTTTCCCATGATATTACTCTTCACCACATTCCTAAAAAGTAGTTGGTACTCTGCCTAGAGATTAGAGCCAGGCACTTAGTACTAGTAACTATTCCATACATGGGGCAGGGTTGGAGAAGAATTGATCTGTGATGGTGAAATACATTGTTAGTTATCTGTAATTCTCATTAAAATAATGAAAATTATAATCAAGCCATTGATGGAAAGGCTATCTACTTTGAACAGTCCTTCTAATAAAAGAATAGGGGCTTATAATATTCCCCTGCTCCAACTTCTGTGTTTCCCCCTCACCCTCAAGATAAAAGGTGAACATCTAAATGTAGAATGCAACCCTTTAGTCCTTGAGATCTTGCTCATTGCAGAGGCTTTGTTTTCTATCACTTCCCTTACTCGGACACTGTAAACCAACCATATGGAAACATGTTATTTCTAAAAGTACACCATGTTCTTACTTATCCTATTTGTTCTACCATATTTTACCAAAGTAAAGTTCTATCTGTCACTCAAACCACTTATATGGAATTGTATCCTGTCCATTATCCCCATCATATCCCAAGCCTGGGATTTTACCTCTTCTATCTTCTCACAGAATCTGTGTAACGTCCTATAATAACATGTATTTCTTCTCCCCTGGTATGTTCATCTAAGACCTTCCTTCTCTAATCTGCTAGAAACTCAGTATCAGCTTGCTTATCCTTTTGGTCTACTTGTTTAGCATAATTTCTGACACAGTCTATGTACTTAAAATTATTTGTTGCATGAAAGAATGACATTCATTTGAAACAACTGTTTTGAGTTTTAGTTACTCTTGTGTTTCAGAGTTCGTTATCTAGCCAAGGAAAATATAACCCAGGACTCTGAGACCCACACGGTCTCTTTCCTACAGCCCAATGGTGCCATCTTTGAACCCTCACTATCAGTTGGAACTGAGGATGACATGTTCACCATTCTCAACCTGGCTGTAGCTGTGAGTAGACAAACAGCAAAATTACTCGAGAATCCAACTGTAAATAATCTCATGATTAAAACCACCATTAGATATCTTTTTTTTTCACTTCTATAAAAATGCTTTCTTATGCTATTATTTTTAATTATGATCATTTGGAAAGATGACAAGATCATAGAATAATCAACTGAAGACTGATTAGAAGACAACTTAGAGAGTGTATCATTTTAAAAAGTAGGATTTATGGGGCTTCCCCGGTGACCCAGTGATAAAGAATCTGGTAATGCAGGGGACATGAGTTCAATCCCCGGTCCAGGAAGGTCCCACATGCCTCAGAGCAGCTCAGCCTGTGCTGTTGGGCATGTGTCCGGGAGGCAGGGGGCCGCACCTGCTGAGCCCACGCGCCCCAACTTCTGAAGTCTGCGCACCCCGGAGCCCGTGCTCTGCACCAGGAGAAGCCAGCACAGTGAGAAGCCCATGCGCCACAGTTAGAGCCTGGCCCAGCTCAGGGCAGCCAGAGAGAAGCCTGCGAGCAGCGAAGACTCAGCACAGCCAAAATCAATAACCAATGAGAGAAACAGACAAAATGTGTCCAAAAGTAGGATTAACTTTGAAACTCTTCTTCCTGTGGCCCACACAACCACAGAGAAATGTAATCATGAAGAGATGAAGAAATAATATACTTTTAGCCCTGGCTAGATTTGGCAGTCATTTTAAAGATGGCTGGAACTTGTTTTATTCAGTTTAATTCTTATATTTATATTTATTTGTTAAGAAAGTGATGCTGCAGTCGGTGTCTTAAACCCTGATTTTTTTTTTTTTTTTTTTGCAGGCTGCACCACATCTCTATCCAAATGCATTTGTTCAAGGAATACTCAATTCACTTATCAAAAAGTCAAAATCTTCTATGTTTCAAAACAGAACTTTGAAAGAACTATTGTGGGGCTATACAGATCCATTCTTGAGTTTGGTTCCATATCCCGTTGCTACTACAGTTGGTGTGTTTTATCCTGTGAGTAACAATTATAAATGTTGATACTGTTAGACTTTAACTGGATAAATATAATCACACTGGCAATTCATAAGTTTATCATTCAGTGTGTTAACCCTATTTCTGATCTCGGAATACATACTCTAAGTTTTTAAAAGTCTCTACCTCACACGGATTTAGCTTTCCTAGTTGGGAAAATTTAACTTATCTGAATTTAACAATTAAGATTAAGAAGTGGCCATTTAATTAAGTTTTCACTCCTAGATAAATGTGCAATTGTCTAAAATTAGGTTCTAAGGTGCTAAGAGTTTGAATACTGTTTTTGGTTTTGGTTTCCTGTCTAAAAAAACAAGTTTAAGCTGTGTTTTATTTTTGTTAATTGTATTCATCATATCATTCTTAAAAATTTATTTCAACATAAATTTAAAAGTCACCTTAAATTGTACACAAGATTGATACATCAGCATGTTTTATGCTCTCAGATTTAGTTGGTAAGAACATCTGTGAGTGAGTGCCGTGCTCAGAGCTGATAAGAACTTCTAGCAATCTACAAACTATGAAATGGCAGTTTGGATATAAAAAGTGAATTTGGTGATGTACTTAGTTATAGCAGAATGTTCCAAATTACAAATAGGACAAGGTGACTATTGCATTGAAAATTTTACTGTGATTCCACTTGGCACTATATGAGATATTAATTACATTTTGCAGTTCATTGTTGTTATTTTACTTTAGATGGTTTTTAGGGCTGCAAGTTCATATATCAATCAAATATGAATACAGAAAGCCTTAAGAGAGATAAATTCAGTTACTATTATTTCACTCACATATTTTTATTTCTTTCCTTGGCTAATTCTGTTTTTAATTTTGTGCACCTCATCTTAGTAACTACTTATTAGAGATCATAACATAGAGACAATGTCTAGAAATTGGTCATTTTTCTCATAGGTTTTGTTCACTCTCCCCTCACCACAACATATTAGGAGTAGTGATCAAAATGGCCTTTCTAGATGAAATAAAACAAAGAGTGCTAGAACTGGATCATGTCAGCTTTGGCACTTGTTACATTACTTTGTCTCGGCATCTAGCATTTAGTCACCTTTTGTATTCTGTGTTTTTAAAATATTAAAGACCAATAATTTTGAAACTATTGCATATATATTTAAAATCACATAAAATAATTATGAACAACTACTGAGAGTTAATTACAAATTTAATAACTTGGAAAGTATGGTTTGTTGTAGAAGTAATTTTTTTCTTGTATCTCTTCAGTACAATAATACTGCAGATGGAGTTTACAAAGTTTTCAATGGAAAGGATGACATAAGCAAAGTTGCCATAATTGACACATACAAAGGCAAAAAGTAAGTATCCAGGCAAAGTTTGTGTCACTAGGATACTCTAAGGCAGGCAAGGAACTTATTTACCAGCTGGTAAGGCACAGGGACAACGTGTGGAACAGAACTGCTTGTATCTCAGCCCTAGAAGCTCCCTAGGTCTACCAGGCATTAATCCTTTAGTTGTGATAACTGGTCACATTATTGTATTTTTGCTGAGTTTCAGCCCCACTGGAGGGTTCACCTTTATGAACAAGTTCTCTTACATAAAGAAATCTAAAGGGACTACTTCCATCTCTGCTGCATAACCATCATACATGCAACAATGACATAAATGCAAATGAAAATAATCAATATATCAACTCATCATCTAGCAAGTAGGAATATAGACATCTTACTGTTTCTTTTTTAACTGAGCATGTCAAAAAACATCATTTATTCCAGGGAGATGATTAAATGTACCAATAAAGATGAAAGTGTAATGAATTCATGCAAACATTTTCATGACTTGCCCCTTCAAAATTTTCCTGAAATAATTTTCTATATTGATAATTCAGCTTTTACACCATTATCAATCCAAAAAATGGAATTATTACTTCCTGTTCCAAAACTGACATGTTAAACCTGAAAATAAAGTGTACACCTCCTATGAAGTAGTAGTAGAATGAGATACGTTCACATAGCCATGATTTCCTACTTCTTCCAAGTTCCTGCCTGTTTATGTGGAGTACACCTAATCTGTCATATGTCTAAAATACAAAGAAGCCCAATAAATATCAGGGGGAAAAAACTTTTCAAAGTTGAAATAAGAGTTTTAAGATCAGTAATTTCTGACAAAGAATAAAGTGATCAAAATCAAGAGACGAAATATTTTTATGATTAAGTAACCATTACTTCACATTGAGTTTGTACCTAAAAATTGCCTAAAGCTGCTAAATACTCACTCACATAGACTTTTCATCTACAGAGTTCATAGTCATGTATCATTTTGAAAATTCTAATAGAGGAAAACAAACACTTCTAAATGCTCATTTTAGGGAAATCACATCTCTGTATATTGAGGAAAGTAAGAATTTATTCCATTTCAGTAATACCAGAGTTTTTGAGGAGAGTTACTAAATACTCCAAATTGGAGTAAGACTTTCATTTAAGATTATGATAAGGCTAACTTAACTGAGCATGACTGACAGCTTATTCTGTTTAAAAAAGAAGCAATAGCTTGCCTTGACATCTTACTGGATGGTATGTTAGAGTGAAAAAACCATTTTTCCATCACCAAAAAGTGGTTAAGTATGCAGAGAAACTATCACTACTGTTGTTTTCATTATTTCCATATATAAATATATACACACATATACATTTAATGTAGATACCAGAATGTAAATTAATAAACTTCATCCTACTTTAATGCCAGCTCACGCAAGAGTTGAGAGAAAAATATAAATTGATTTTCTACATTTCTAAATCTCTATTAATCAAACATCTCTTTCCTCCTCCACATTCTACTCTTTTCTCTCATAATGAGATATCAGTTAACCATTTAGTATCTTCCTCCTACTCAGCAGGACATGTCAACATAATACGAAATAATCCACTTCTCCCATTGGAACAACAAAAGAAAAAACTTTCTTGAAGTAGACATCTAAATGTCTGATATGTGTTTTTCACTTTTCTTTTTACAGAACTTAATCTTTTCCAAGTTGTTCCTAACTACCAAATTTTGGCAGCTTTTATCTTATAATCTAACTCCTTAGTGGTGTCAGGCACTTCCTTTATCTCAGCAAGATGCCGGCTTCAAGCAATACAAAGACCAAATGACTTAGAACATTTCTTAAACTTAGCACCTGTCACATCTAGTCTAATCAACTGTTATTATTTTTGCAGAAATACTGACTCATAATAGACAATGTAATGTGAGAAGGTGCTTCTGAAATGAAACTGATCATTTTCTTCTTTTTTTAACTCCTAAGGAATCTCCTTTATTGGTCAAGTTATTGTGACATGATTAATGGTACAGGTAAGTGTACCAAGTGATGGGTGAAGAATCCCTTTGTGGTAATATCACAATGAAACCACCTTCTTTCTCCCACAAATCCTCCATCATATCTACAATGTTCTGGGGGTTGAGGATATCCATTTACTTATCTTGTGTCCCACAACATAATTCAGAGTCTCTATACTTATATATAGGCTTATTAAATGCATGTCTAACGTGATGGGATTTCTGAAGACTGACCATTGAAGATGAGCCTTTACTGCCTTCCTTGGGAAATGTTTACTTCGTAAAAGCATTACTTAAGTGAACTTCCTTCCTGGCCACAGAAGTAAGGGGGTGGAAAATTTTACAGTAGTAGTTACTGTTTGCACATTTTGGAAATACTACATAATCTTTGACCAACCTAGACAGCATATTAAAAAGCAGAGACATTACTTTGCCAACAAAGGTCCGTCTAGCCAAAGCTATGGTTTTTCTATTAGTCATGTATGGATGTGAGAGTTGGACCATAAAGAAAGTTGAGTGCCAAACAATTGATACTTTTGAACTGTGGTGTCAGAATAGACTCTTTTTGAGAGTCCCATGGATTGCAAGGAGATCAAACCAGTTCATCCTAAAGGAAATCAGTCTTGAATATTCATTGGAAGGACTGATGAATATGAAATTCCAATACTTAAAAATAAAACATGTGTCCAAGTGGAGGTTTCAATAATGAGGCAGAATCAGAGAAGTTCAAGGCTGAATATAGATTTTGAATGAGATGGTCAAAATGAAAAAGAAAACAACAACAATAAAACACAGCTGCATCTGTACTAACCATGAAAAATGTATGCAAAAATAACACTGTGAAATAGAACTAGGAAGAAAGAAGGTACTAGGACTTTAGATAGATCCAGTTTATTATTCTCCTTAAAGAAAAGCAAAGTACACATATGCCTATTAGTTTAAGTATTAAAATTTTTAAAAGTAATGGGAATAAAATACCATTAGGTATTTAAAATCAAAGATGAGCTTTCAGCTACTAAGAGGCAGAAGCAGAATATTGTGTGTATAAAGTTGGTAAGGCAATACTTTAGAAGAATGTAACACATGAAGAAAAAAATGTTAAAGTACATAAAAAGATAGAAAATAAGAAGGAAACATAGAGAACATTCATTTTCACAAAGGTATTGCTGAGTTTCACAGGTTATTTAATTTTGTTTACACTCTGGTTAAAAAAAAAAAAAAAAGATCAACAACCAGTAAAACCACTGCTGAATTTGCTTTACAGCACTTTGAGTCATGGTGATGAGTGAAGAAATCCCTTCCAAGTAGTTCATTTCTGCAAATAGTCAACTGTCCCAATACCACTAACTTTAATTTCATAAGCATACACTTCAGTCCTTAAGAAAGAAATATACTGCGCTTCTCCTAAATAGTAAGCTATTGTTTATGGGCTTAAAGTATATTTAAATCTTAGTCTAAAACAAAAAATAGACCAGTTTTAGAACAGTAATAAGAGGATTCATTAATGGCTGTAACATATACATAGCATCAGGCATGAAATTAAAAGTATCTAAGATGAAAATAACAGTAAAACAAACTAGGAGCAAAGGTTGGTTGGACAGATCAGGGACTCTGATGGTGATTCTTGGTCACAGTAGTAGAAAAAGAGACTAATGAAATGTCAATGGATCCAAGGTGATTTCTAAATCATGATTTAGAAGTACTTCCTCTACCTTCTTCACTAAGTTTAAAGACATAAAATGAAAGTATTTATTTATATTTGAATGCATTTTAAAAAAAGAGAGCCCTGCTAGTATCAGCTATGTTATGGTCATGGCCCTTGGTAGTTACTGGTGTCATTATAACATAATCTTTGATGATATTTCAGATGATTTTTAAATATTTTCAATGTACTTTTTTCCTTTAATGGCTAAGGTGTTGGGACAGCAGTTGCAGGCAAGGCCCATTCAGGGAACTACTTGAGGAATTTAATCTTCAGTATCCCATTCTCTCAATGTCTTATCAGGTTCACTGAGATGCTCTGTTATATTTCACCTATCATAAGAATATAAGTGAAATAAAATCACAAGGTCAGCGAAGTTACCAGAAAAACAGTGTGGTAGTCATAACTGAAGGATAGGTCTTACTGTTTTGAATAAATACATTCAGTGGTGGCTCATGTTTGGTGATATTCATTTGTGGAGCAAATGGAGGAATTGTCTAGCTATTTTTTCTTATATCCAGTGTGTACTATGGAGCACAACTGTGGTAAAGATTTACTAAGCTCAAAAGATGCTCTTTTTAGTTTGATGTGTACATTTTACAACCATTTGTGTGAAATTGTTTAGTGATTTAAAAAATATTGATCAGCCATAAGGGTAGGTGAATGGATCACTATTAAAAGTATGGACATTTACAAAAATGAGTTTTAAAGGAATCTCAAGATTAAAAAATTGCTACTCTACTGATAGATGGAAGATTTAAAAACATAAAATCACAGTTTTAACAATGTGATTTTTCCATTTTTAAAAACTTTCATCTATTTTTAAAAAATGGGAAAATTTAATATGAAACAGAATACCAATGATTATGTATAGTATACAGTCTTATTGAATATGGTAGCTGCTAGCCACATGTCACAATTCAGCAGCACTTGAAACGCAGCCTAGTACAAACTGAAATACTATAAGTATAAAGTAAACATTGAATTTTCAGATTTTTGTTAATTTTTATATCGTATGTTAAAATGATGGTATTTTTGATATATGGGGTTAAACAACACATACTTGATACATGTTTTTCATCTTTAAAATGTAGTTACTGGAGAATTTTAATTTTATACATACAGTTTCATTACATTTCTCTTAACCGTGCAGGAATCAAGATTTCTAGATTTGTTTAAGTCGCACTGTTTCCATCTAATCCCTTGCCACTGGTTTGGTTTTTAAACAGATGCAGCCTCATTTCCACCTTTTGTTGAGAAGACAAGGATATTGCGATTTTTCTCCTCTGATATTTGCAGGTAAGAGAAAGACAATGATGTATCTCTCCAAGTCATAATTCTTTCTCTAAGTGATAAAACACAGACCAAGAAGCTTATGCTTAATAATCATGTTATTTGAGAAAAATAAAATACTTTTAGGGAAGTATTTCCTGATCTATTAAGAATAAATACAATGTGAAATTCATGATTTATGCCCTGAAGAAGGTAATGGCAAACCACTTCAGTATTCTTGCCTAGAGAATCCCATGGACAGAGGACCCTGGTGGGTTACAGTCCATGGGGTTGCAAAGAGTTGGACACAACTGAGTGACCAACACACACACACACACAAAATATATCTGTGAGTCTTTAAAATTTGATGTAGAAGGATGTTATGTATAATGCAAAAGTTTCTTTTTTGTTATTTTTAAGTAAGAACTACTTTTTTCATTCTTTTACTAAATTAGCAGTAAGAGTGATAAAGTCAAGTCTAGAAAGGCATGCCCAGTCTTTGTAAAGAAGAGGATACCACAATCACAAACTATCTTCATGTGTACCACTTACAATACAGCATCTTTTCAAATTGACAGGGGCCCAGTAGCTATCACACAGGCATTAGCGCCTACACCTGTATCCTTGAATGCGCACCTGGATTCTTAACACTGTTTGGTAGAGCAAGCATATTATCTCTGAATCTTTTTCCTTATCTGTAAAATTGAAGAGAACAGCATTTCTTCAAATAGTCATCTGGAGATTAGAAAATATTTAATCTATAAAGGAAACTAACTGTGAGGAATGCCTTAACTGTAAATACTCCATGGTAATTCACAAGCAAAAATTATTCTCAGAAGTGTTTGAAAACAAATAGCTCATACTCAAGTATTAAGTTCTAGTGTGTCTTAAAATTTTGCAATCTTTTTTTTTTCCTAAAATTTAGGGATTCTAATAAGATTATATCTAATTTTTCTAATTTAAGGCAGCAATAATATAAATTTAAATAGAAGAAAAAACAAATCTCCACAACAAAGTTCAGGGTCCCAGAATGAAGCTCTTTCTTATCTGTATTCAGGTCTGTCTATGCTGAGTTTTCAGCTGAAATGGATCTGAAAGGAATCCCTGTGTATAGATTTACTCTTCCATCCTTGGCATTTGCATCTCCAAGTGAAAATCCAGACAACCACTGTTTCTGCACAGAACAAATTATCTCAAAAAATTGTACCTTATATGGTGTGCTAGACATTGGCAAATGCAAAGAAGGTGAGTACAAGTTCTTCATGTCACAATCCCTGGTATAATTTGTGTTATTCTTTAAAATGTAAACTTCACCCAGGATTCCTTTCCACCAGAAATATACAGTGAGAAAGCAGTAAGGGCAGAAAGTAAGAGTGATGGTGGATATTTTTGTTTTGATGTTTGTCTTGCTTTCAGGGTCGCAGTTGTTTCCGTGTTGCAGAACTTAGTTTTTATTAGGTATAATCATGCTTATTGATACTTCCCGTGCTACTTGGAAATGTCTCTTTAGGTCTTTTGCCATTTTTAAATTGGTTTATTTATTTCTTTGAGTTGTGTGAATTCTTGTATATTTTGGATGTTAATCACATGGGATACGTGTTTTGGAAGTATTTGCTCCCACCTACAGCTAACCTTTTCATTTCTGTTTCTTTTGCTGTGCAGAATGGCTGTGCTCCTTTTATATTTAGGATAAAATGAAAATAGTTTGCAGAATACTTTGAGCATCACAACTTGTCCATCTGAAATTTTTCTTCTTCTACCCTAGAATCTGTTTAAAAAAAAAAAGTATATTTTAGGATGTCTCTGAAACAAAAATTGATCCAAACAGGGCATCTGGAGTCTATCTTATTGTGCTTACCTTCTTCATGTTAGAGTGGGTGAGAATAAAGAAAGAAAAGCCTCTTTAAATAAATTCTCAGTCCAAAGACATTTTACAACATGAAGGTATATGGTTGTAACTTTGTGTTCAGTAGCTAAGCTTTACATATTGAAAATAAACACCTAAGGGATGAACAACATACATTAACTAAATAGTCAGTAGGATGATGTATAAGTTTACATTTTATTTTTGTTCAAAAGTGATCAGATACAATAATTTTCCCTCACTCTCATCCCCTGATTAGATTTAAAAGCTAAATTTGCATTTCATTTTTTAAATTAAAAGCTTTATTTTCAAGGAAATCTTTTCTAAGTGGTATATGAAATGAGGAAAATGATTTATCCCAATTGTCTCTTAAAACTTTTTTTCAGGAAAACCTGTGTACATTTCACTTCCTCATTTTCTACATGGAAGTCCTGAACTTGCAGAACCTATTGAAGGCTTAAGTCCAAATGAAGAAGAACATAGGACATACTTAGATGTTGAACCTGTAAGCAAATAGTTTATTGATCAGATTTGTTTTTTAAAAATGAAGAAAAAATTAAATTATCAATCACATTTATTGTATTACATTCTTAATAAATTACTTTTACTTCAAGGAAAATTACAGTGATTTCTTCCTGTTGTTGCTTATGAAATGTCAAGATAATTTTAGTTTTTCAGCAAAGGTCAGGAATAATGAAAATCATTCTATTTGGATTAAAATGATTTTATATGTTACTCTTTCAAGTGTACTTTATATTTAATTGCAAATATTGCTTATATGAAGGTACCCTGTAGATTATGAGGGATTAAAAATGTTTTATGGGTATACATGCACTTGAGGCAAGATCAAATATATTTCTTAGTGTCAAGAAAAATCTATTAAGTTCCCTATAGTTTAACAGTTTCTATTTTTCATTTATATTAATATTCCCCTTTTCAACAGACAGATGAAATGTCAGGACTTTAGTAGTCATATTTTAGTTTAAATAATGACAGAAGTAACATTATACTGATGACACATGGATTCTGACTGAGTACATATTTAAATTCCAGGATATATTTTGTCAAATGAATTTTAGATTTCACTACTGTTGTTGTCATTACTAATTCCCCAAAACCAATTCAAGTAAATATCACAAATCTAACTAAACCTTGACATTAGGTTGGGCAAGGATATATCTGTATACACACATGCATATACTCATAAAATGTAATTATGGAGAGTTACATATGTAATATTCAATATGTCTGATTAAGTCCAATTAATGACAAATTTCACAGGTTTCAAGTAGTACATTTTCACCTTAAGCTCATATATAACAAAAATAAGGTCTGGATATTATAAAAGAATGTTTTTAAAATAAGTTGGTAATTAGTTTGTTCTCATTTTAGATAACTGGATTTACTTTACGGTTTGCAAAACGGCTGCAGATCAACATACTGGTCAAGCCAGCAAAAAAAATTGAGTGAGTTTCTTAAGTTTCATTTTGATTTTTCAAATTTTCTTGTAAGATGCAGATATATCTATCAAAGGAGATGGAAATAAAATTTCAACGTCTGTTTGGCTTAATGTCATTAAATAATTATTACATGCTTACAACTGTCATTTGTAATTTAGAATTACATCTAATGTGTAGTGAAATGGTACTTACCCATATTTTGGAATGAGTATTTCTGGTATTTCTCTCTTTGCTAACTGTCCAAATATTTTTATGACAATAGTTTCAGCATTCATATTTTAGTTTCCTGGGTATAATTTGTTGAAAGGGAAAATACATAATTAGAAAAGGTCATTCTAATGAAAAAACCTGTATCAGATGGCTTTCCTGCGGTTTAGTGCTTAACAGTCCACCTTTCACTGCAAGGGACACTGGTTTGATACCTGGTACGGGGAGATCCCACACGCCTCTGGGAAGCTAGCCCCGTGCCCCACAACGAGCCTGCGCTCCTGGAGCTTATGCTCCACAATAGGAGAAGCCGCTCCAATAAGAAGCCCATATACGGCGACTGCAGAGTGGCCCCTGCTTGCCGCAGCTAGAGAAGGCCCATGTATGGCAACGAAGACCCCGTGCAGCCAAAAATAAATGAATATTTTTTAAAATCTGTATTAAAAAGATTTGTATGTAGGAAAGGTGTCTGAGAAACAGAAATATTAAAATTTAAATGCTTCATTACAGGAAAAACAAAGTAAGTAACTTAACCAGGTTATAAAAGCAACTAATTTCTGAACATTTCTTTTCACTAGTAGTTACTAATATCTGTCATACGTGTATAGCATATTAGTATATATTTTCACACTTATTTTCAATGTTTATTACAGAGCATTAAAGAATCTGAAGCACAACTATATTGTGCCTATTCTTTGGCTTAATGAGGTGAGTATTTTTATCTATTAGTCACTAAAAACAGTAAGCTTCTCAATATACAGAAAAAGTTTTTGATGTTTGAAAATTAAATATATATATATGTATATATATATGGATACACACACAGTGTTTGAACTTGTCTTTCCATTGTATCTATGGGTGAGTTTATATATTATTAATTATATAGTTAATTATTTTTTAAAGTAAGTCATACAGAAGTATCAGGATTATGTTAGACTTAAGTATAACTTTAATAAAAATAAAAATACTTCATAGTGCATTAATTAGATAATTTTTCTTGTCATAGTGCATGTGTTAGGAAAATATTAAACTCCAAATAATTCAATATGAGCCTTGTAGTGCTAATAAAACCACCCAAGCTTATAATGGGCAAATTAGAGTAGATGTAGGCAGTCTATCTAGTGCCTGAAAATCATGGAACGGACAAACCACAGAATTAGGAAATGCATTGCATAAGCCTTTAGAGGATAGAAACAATTGAGCTTTGCCATTTCCCTCTGTCACTAAGAAGCAACCTTTGGGAAACTGGAGAATACTTTCAGTAAGACTAGTGATCAATGAAATCAGTATATTCAATAACACTAGATAACATGTTTAAAGGGAGGAATATTATATCTCTCTCTCTAAATATTCTACCTGGGCATTTACTGTCTTTTTTGACATGCAAAGAGAATTCCAACAGGCTTGTTTTGCAGATAAAGATTACTAACATCCGTATGCTGTTTCAATACAAAAGTGATACACATAAGTGGAGAGTTTTGAGTATTCTGCTCTCAAATCTACTCAAATAACACTATTTACTAACTTGATTACAGACTGGTACCATTGGTGATGAGAAGGCGAAAATGTTCAGAAATCAAGTGACTGGGAAAATAAACCTCCTTGGCCTGGTAGAAATCGTCTTGCTCAGTGTTGGTGTGGTGATGTTTATTGCTTTTATGATTTCATACTGTGCATGCAGATCAAAGAAAGTAAATTAAGTAAGTATATAACAGAAACCATATGTGACTTCAGTAACATTAAATATTACTTGCTTCCATTTTGTCAAAACAGTTATAAACTAGGCTGCAAATATTATGAACATGTCTAGTCAACTATCATTTTTAACATATCCTTGAAACTTTGAGACACTTAACGTAAGTTAAAATTAAGACTGAATGAGTACTTAGGCTTATCAATATTAAACAGATCACTATATTTCATCTTTATTCTGGGAGGAAATGGGCTAAACTGTGAAGGTGTCACCTTTGAAAAATTAGAATGCTGCACAAAAGCTATACATGTACTCAATTTTTATTTCTTAATTATTTTTAGATAGTTATTTTAAAAATCACAAGTAACTTAATATATCTGACTAGGAAACGTTGTGTGAAACTGAAAATGGCAGATATTTGGGGAGACTGAAATTTATAAGGGAAAAGAAAATAAAAAGTAAAATTAGATAAGCTATAAAGTAAGGAGAATTAAGGTCAATAAATGGTAAAGATAAAATCAGATAAAAATATGCTATTTTTAAATGCAAATAGCATATTAATATAAAAACAGAACTGCTGCATATAGACACACTGTCCAAAATCATGACATGCAGCCTACATGTTCCATGTGGAAGCCCTGATGAATGATTATAATTCAGGAGCTAGAATTAAACGAGCACAAGAAAATAGACTAAAGATAATGTTGAACTCACTAAAACCAAATAATTAGAGTTTAAAGGAAAAATCAGATAAATATGGATGGGTGAGTTTTAGCAAAACTGAAGAGGTGGTTCAGGCCTCTGTGTTTTAAATATTAGTACCCATGTCTCCATGAACATAGAGGAGTGTATGCCAGACCCTATTTTCTCTAAATGGAAGCCTTTCTTTAATAATCATAGGTGGCACTGGTATGGCCTGATGGGAGTGGATTCTCCACTAACCCATAGTTTCTATCCACCGTTCCTTCCCTGGGATATCAAAGAAAAAAAATGAAGTGAAGTGAAAGTCACTTGGTAGTATCCTTCCATTTTCTACCTCATGAACTGTAGCTCTCCAGGCTCCTCTGTCCATGGAATTCTCCAGGCAAGAATACTGGAATGGGTTGCCATTCCCTTCTCCAAAGGACCTTCCTGACCCAGGGATTGAACCCGGGTCTCCTGCATTGCAGGCAGATTCTTTACTGACTAAGCTACCTGGGAAGCCCAGAAAAAGAACAAGAAAAAAAAAAAAAAAGGAATCTAAATTAAAGCAAGGACAGATGCTGAAGCTCCAATACTTGGGCCACCTGATGCGAAGAGCCAACTCACTGGAAAAGATTGAGGGAATAAAGAAAAGAGGGTGACAGAGGATGAGATGGCTAGATGGCATCACTGATTCAATGGACATGAGTTTGAGCAAACTCAGGGAGATAGTAAAGCACAGGGTAGCCTGGCATGCTCCAGTTCATGGGGTCGCAAAGAGTTGGACATAATTTATCAAGTGAACAACAGCAGCAATAAATTGCTCTGAAGAAAACCAATCACAATTTTAAAACAAGTCTTCTTATTCCACTTTCAATCAGATTGCTGACAGTAAGCTACCCTGCATAGAAATTCTGGAGCTGCCACTGACAATTACTGAACTTAATGTGCTCAAATCATGCTATTTTACATGAATTTCACAGCTCAGTTCAGTTCAGTTGCTCAGTAGTGTCCGACTCTTTGCGACCCCATGAATTGCAGCATGCCATGCCTCCCTGTCCATCACCAACTCTCGGAGTTCACCCAAACCCATGTCCATTGAGTTGGTGATGCCATCCAGCCATCTCATCCTCTGAGGTCCCCTTCTCCTCCTGTCCCCAGTCCCTCCCAGCATCAGGGTCTTTTCCAATGAGTCAACCCTTCA